AGTATTAGTTTGACTTCATAATCCTCGATCAAAATACAAAATTCAGCTGTTTTCATTCAGTGTTGCACCACTTTCGATGAACTTTCACGTGGTATACGGTAAGCTTATTACACATTCTTCCTACGCTTTCATTTTTTATAATTTTTCCTTACCTTTTCCTCTTTGACAAATTGATAATTAATTAATGGGTAAAATCCTGTGCAAAATATTTGAAACATTCCAAACTTATTAAGAGATAGAATTTAAATCACTTTAACTTAGCATATCTTATCATTATTTGATCGTCACAAAAATCAGTAGATAATATTTTCTATTTTTACTATGGATTTTGTCGCTTAAATTAATCATTAACGGTTTATTGCCAAATTTATTTGTTTATTATCCATTTTCATTTCAAATTTCACAAGCAATCTATTCAAGAACACTGTATTCAATTACAATTTATGAAATGTGTTATCATTGATGGAAAAATCATACGATGCGCTTTATTTGAAATCATCAATTACTTTTAGTGCTTTTGGCATATAAGGAAAATCGATGCTGCTAATTTTTGTTTTTTGTTTATTTTTTCCATCTTTTTAGATAATATTAAGGTGAGCAAAGAAGATATTTGAAATTACCATAACTTTCAACTAAACTCCACTCCAATGTATATAACCACTCAGAGAATCTTCTACAATGTCTCCCTCTCTCCCAATGGGCATGTCATCGAACAGAATCTTCCATGCACCTTCATCCATTAGTCATCGCTACTGGTCATTGTTATCAGTGTATCCCATAGTAGGCGAAAACAAGGAAAACATATCTTTTGGATAAAGATTATGCTTGTCGCATGAACCATCCGAACTAAGAAATGCTTTTGTGGTTTCCTTCTTTGATAGCAATCTGAAAGCAATTAGAATTTATAATTAAACATATCTTAATATATTTTGATGCAGAACTGTTCCAAAATAAAACAATATTTAAACGCTTCTTCAGTTGCTGCTTGCTCTCAGAATATATTTCTTTCAAAAGATATTCTTTCAAATTTTTGAATATATGACTTAAAACCAAACATTTGCACAAATGATTCGTCTGGTTCCAAATTCACTGATGTAATTGGCTTTAGCTTAAATGGATTCACGACAATCTCACGTCATTCGTTCAGCGCCTTCTGCAAACGTTGTAATGATGATATTCATATTGCTTCCTCATCGAGGTATCAGGTGTAAGGAAGGAAAATAATGGATATGAATGACATTCTGTATTACACACAGCGGAAGTTGGCGTTTTAGTCAGTTTTCGAGTTTGACTTATTGAACGGTCATCTCAAACATAAATTTTGGAATAGCTGTGATAACATTCAATTATGCAAAAAAGAAAAACGGAGGATGAAAGAAGAGGGGACGAAATGACAAAAGAACAGAATAAAACGGAGACAAAAGGAGAAAGCAGTATTAGTATGATATGAAACATAAATGATAAAATGATAATTCTTGTTTCTATTTGATCATTATGAATTTTTTATTTCTAATTATCCAGAAATACTTTGTATGTTATATATGATTTCTGATAATGCATTTGATCAATCAGATATGATCTTAAATCTTAAAAAGCATTTTTTTTCACTTTATTACTTTTTAGTACTTTTTCCATGTTTTCATTTCATTGAGCATACCATTTAAGGTAAGTGTGAATGAAGGAAGACATTTGAGGTGAAAATCAGCACTTGTTGAGGAAAAGATATGTATATTGTGAATAAAAATTTGGAAGTATTATGTTTGAGAGTGGAGGAGAAAACTCAGGTTAGAATTTGTTATCTCAGTAATAAGATCTTTTGCACAAATGCGAATTTTACTCATGGCAAAGTAATTTAGTTGATGTTACCATTACCTGGCCATCTATAAGCGGTCAAGGCCGAGAAGTAGTTGAAAATACAGGTAAAGAAAATAGATGGCTCCGAGATGAATTAAATTCAACGCAGTAGAAGCTGCATTCCATTGGAGAAGTTTGTTGGAATCCATGCGGAAGCAAGAAAAGTTCATTTTTTCGGGATTTTTCTGTCTTGAGCTTCAGACAACAATTAAATTGCAATAAGTTGAACAATTGAAAGAGCATT